CTGAAATGTAGAGGCCTACTTGTACAGGTTCCACTCCAGTGGCCTATCTAGTGTGTCCATACTTGACTGCCATAAGGCTCAAGAGGATAAGACTCTGCGCATAAAAGACACTAGCGGTCTGCACCTCAACCGTGTACGCCCTAGTCACTCTTTCAGTGGTAGCGGAGCAGTGATCCTGGAAGACCCAGGTGAGCTCCTTTCCTAGGCATAGACTTGCTTGTGGGCAACCGGCCATGGATTGGATTGACGACTGGGAAGAGCCTGATGCGGATGTGGCTTATGAGCCAGCAGCCTATGTGAACAGGCATGTGAGAAGAGAACCAGCAGAGATAGCTATGACAACACAGGTCATTACAAAGGTGCCCCCATCTTATGATGGAAAGACTTCATGGTTTTCCTATGAGGATGCCATAGACGATTGGTGTGATATCACCGAGCTGGAGGATGAGAAGAGAGGACCAGCATTGAGAAACCAACTAGAAGGAGAAGCAGCTGTATACAAGCGAGTATTAGACAGAGATGCATTGAAGGCGAATGATCCACCAGGAGCAGGAGTAGAATACTTCAAACGAGTACTACGTCCATATTTTGTGAAAGGATCAACCAATGTATTCCTGTATAGGTTTATGCAATTCGTGCGCTTCAATCGCGGATCAGCTGATATGATGAAGTGGATGACAAGATTTCAGATTTTACTCCATAGGCTTATGAGCAGTTGGATGGACATGTTGGATCCAGTAACACAAGTACATCCTCAGGTACAAGCTCAGATGCAAGCAGATGCAGCGATGACTGGAGTAGCTCCAACAGCAGAAAGAATTCAGGAAATCATGCAGAATGTCAATGGCAATATGAGAATCCTTCATCAGAACGATTTTCCTTTAGGAGAGAATCTCATTGCCTTACTCATGCTGTCACTCGCAGATTTGTCTCAGGACCAGAGGAACACTTTGACCTCTTTGATGACACATCGTGGTAGAGTCCTGCAGCAATACACTACAACAGAGTTGAGGTCAGTCTTCATTGAGATGTTCTGCGCAACAAAGACTTCAGTAGACAATCCTCTGATGCAGCCAACAGGTGCTGGAGGTAGAAGATCATTTCTCGTACTAGACGAAGGAGAACTCGATGGTACATATGGCTATTGGGCCGAAGATGAAGAAGATGGAACAGAAGGATTCCTAGATGCCCTAGACGATGTCTTTTGGGTATATGATGAACAGAATTTCTCTTGGTTCCAGAGGAGATTCCAAGGAAGAAGAGCCAGAAAAGGCAAAGGAAAAGGTAGAAGAAAAGGAAAAGGAAAAGGAAGATCAGGCCGCAGATTTTTCAGACCTCGAGGAAAAGGAAAGAGACGAGGTAAAGGCCATTATGCTGATGAGCAATCAACAACTTATCCAGATGAGTATTTTGAAGAGAATCCTTATGAGGACACTTGGGAGTCAAACCAAGCAGCATATGATGCTATTCTTGCCGAAGATATGAATGACTATCTTCAAGGAGAATATGAAGATGCCAATGACTTTTGGCAACAGCTTGAAGAAGCATGGTTTTCCCACAAAGGAAAAGGAAAAGGCAAGAGAAAAGGCAAGAAAGGAAAAGGAAAAGATAAAGGAGATGGCAAACAAGATGCAAACTATGCAAATCAACAACAGCCACGTTCTTTACCTGCACCTTCAAGAACTTCACAAGCATCAGGAAGCAACCAAGGTTTCTTTGCGCATTGTGTGACAGCAGCAGCTGAAGTCCATGACAGTGAGGTGGACTTGCTGTCAGGCATGATGACCTCATGTCAAGATGAAGCTGACTGTAAGGTCAACAATGGTGAGACGATCTTCGATGGCATGAGTGCCCCTGTGAGGTACTCTTTGTCAAAGGAGATGCTCACAGATGCTCCTGATGGCTTTGCGCTTATGAGCGCTGAGGAAGAAGTGAAAGAGATGCAGGCTATTTCATTTTTGACTGAGAATCGCTTCCCGCCAACTATTGCAATCCTGGACATTGGATGCACTAGAGCTATGGGATCAAGGCGTGCAGTCGATTATTTTTGTAACTATGTCGACAATCATCCAGACTGTGGACTATGGTATTCTTTTGAATCTACCAAGAGCAAGTTTTACTTTGCTAATTCTCAGAAGGCTTCTTGCTCTCAGAAACTGGTGATTTACATGTATGATCGTGCATGGACGATCCACCATACAGAGTTCGACATGGTTGAAGAAGGAGAAGTCCCTTTGCTTATGAGCTTGCCACAGATGAGAAACTTAGGCTTTGAACTCAGGCTGACACCTCAACATGCTTACCTGACATCGGTGCCTCTTGGTATCAAATTTTTGGAGTTGAAGGTTGCAGCCAGTACTCATCTTGTTTTGGACTTCCAAGATATTGCATGGTATCTGTCTGACGTGCGTTTGCAGGCT